TGTCCCCGTACCACTGGTTGAAAACCGCTGCTGTAGATCACTGCCGGTACGTGCGCTGGGAGCGCACCGTTTAAGTTTGAAAGTTGAAAAGTTTGTGTGTCTGAAACGCTATGTGATACAGTACAGTTTACACAGCACAGTACATGTTCTGTAGCTACTATTGCACTAAATGGTAACACTTGAATACGTTATGCAACTTGTTTGTTGAAATGTTAATAAATGGGAGCTTCCTCAAACAGCCCTCTCTTTCCCGACAATCCCCTCTGTGCACGAACCCTTACATATGGTAATTAAACATTAAAACACCTGCGGCTTATAGTCCAGTGCGGCTTATATATGTACACATCATTCAGTTTAGCTGCTGCGGCTTATATTCAGGTGCACCTTATAGTCCGAAAATTACGGTACATTAAAACAGAATTAGGGAAATGTGGCCTAATATTCTGATTCCGGCTCTGAAACGAGTGTATTTGCTTCTTTTCTTCGCCAGACATCAGTGTAAAGATTTTACAGCACAAAGATGACCAAATATAACAAGACGGCACATCGTCAGCACATCCTATTCCTACAAATTCTCTATATGCCCTGTTGTCTATGTAGACAGAGGAAGTGAAGTCTCACAGGCGTTCTTGCTGGCGCTGTCCATGGCGGTCATCCTGGCGCTCTGCTCGGCGGTGGTGGATTCCTTCATGGCCATGTAGATGATGTTGACCATGGCAAACTCCTGGTAGTTCCTCAGCACGTCAGCATCAATGTCATCATAGACGCTCATGCTCTCTGTGGGAGGAAGGAACACACACGTTCAGGATATATCTGTAGGAGACACTTCAGGATCTCTGCATACCGTTTGATAAATATAGTATGTTCAAGTTTATCAGAAATATTGTTTCAAAAAAGTCATAGTTTAGAATTACGAAGAGCGTCATAGTATGTCAGGAAAAAAAGAAAATACATTGTATAGTATGTGGACATTTAAAAAAAAAAGTCCTACTATAGTATGTTGAAAAAAAAAAGTATAGTATTGTATCGTCATAGTATTGCATGTCAAAAAATATAAAAATGTCATATTAAAGAGGGTCGAAATATAATGTGGCGGATGTCATTGTATCATGTCTAAAGAAATATAAAAGCCATCGTAAAGTCATAGTAAAAAATAAAAATAAACTTTACCTGCATTACCAACAGTTTCTGGGGAAAACAGAGGCTTCGACTCCGTCTTGTAAGAGATAACAGACCTGCATCAGAGAAATTGGGAGATTTAATCTATAAATATAATACAGTATTTTAAAACAATTCAAACTCTGCTTGCTCATCTCTAAACCTTTTTTTACACAAATCCAAATAAAGAAAATACATTTTTTTTTTAAAAAGGTGTGCATCGTACTTGAATCGGTTGAAGACGACAGAGGCCTTGTCAAATTCGTATCCCAGGTTGAGCACCTCGGTGGCGACCACTGAGGCGTCTCCAAAGCTGGGGGGCTTGCGGCCGACCTCCTTGCAGCTCAGCAGGATGTGCTTTCCATGAGTTCTGATGAGGAACAACAGGTATTATTTACACAATAAAACAATCGTTACTTGATCTACATTTTTCATTTTCTGCTAAATATGAATTGGTAAAAGATCCATGAAGGTTTGAACCATTCTTAATCGTTTCATTCCCATTACCACATGTTAAAGTTGCACTAGAGAACTTCTTTGCTTTAATGTATAATATTTGTTGATTGCACTGTGTAATGTCTAAAGAAAGATACAACTTTTAGCATTGTCATTTGTTCGACATAAGCCTCACTTGACAATGCAAAGGTCTGCCACAAGGTCGCGTAGTCCTGGGGAAATGGAGGCTCAGTTACCAGCTAATGCTGTTTTTCTGCCTTTTAAATAAGGACATGTTATGCTTATTTGTGTTATTTTATAGTAAATATATTTGTTTTTAAAGCTTCAAATTAAGACACCACCTTGGACTTTGAGAAACTAGGGTGCAAACTTAGCACTATTTTCTAACCTTTTATTTGCAAACGACCTAATTTCGATGTAGTGAAACTGAGCCATTTATCGTTTCACCCAAGCAATTCAAAGTTCAAAAATGAACTTTGATATTAACTGTAACATAAGAACAAATGGAAATGTATACTTTTAAAGTGTCCATTAAAAACATTGACGACAGGGAAGCAACAGTTCATCTTATTTTCCATTATCTTTGCAACATTCTGAACCATCAGAGCCTGAGTCTCCAGCTCAATATCACCAATGTTTTGCTGCTGATAAACAAAGTAATTAGCTAAACATCTGCTCAGAAACGCCCAACACCGGACATGACTTGTGTTTTTCATCAATGTAATAAATGAATGAACATTTCCATTGGTACCTTTTCAGCAGGGCTCTCAGCTTGTCTCCCACGTTGATCACCATGACCTCCGTGCTAGGGCCAGAAAGGGCGATCTGGCTCTTGATGAACCTGCCCACGTTAGAGTGGACGGCGCCGCAGAGTCCACGGTCAGAACTCACACCAATGATCAGATGCTTGTTGACCTTCTCTTCGGCTACTTGGATGTCGGCCTTCTCGTAAAGGGCTGGGGAGCAGAGAGGATGTTTAATCCAGGGATATAGATGAGTTAAATCCTAATCACGAGGAGTTTAAAATAACACTAAGGAGGCCAGGTGTAACGTACCCAGAGCACCAGCACCGTAGACCCTGGATGGCTTCAGCGCCCTCTCAGCACGAGCATACTTGGCAGCGGCCACCATCTTCATGGACTTGGTGATTTTCTGGATGTTCTTGATGGACTTCAACCGAATGGTGACTAGAGAATAGAGGATACAAGTGTCTGATTAACACATATTTTAAAAAAGGTACTTAAACATACCAACTATTACAGACAGTTGAAGCTTTAATCATCACATTTAAATGTATACCATTACATTTAAAAATTGTATTTATATAGCCCATTTATAACCCAACATATTATAACATCACAATATACATTTGTCTCTAAAAAAAAAAGAGCTTTAAAAGTTTCTAAAGATAAACAAACATTAATGAATTAAATAAATACAAAAACGACATGGACACTCCATCAACGCAATTATGTGAATATATAATACAAGTTTATAGAATTAATTTATGCAAAGTGCAAATAATGTATAAAGTCACATTATTTATTATACCCGTTGCTTATATGACCTTAGACTGAAAGACACAAAAATACCAGAAAGTTTCATTTCAAATATATATATTTTTGTTGTTGTTGAACACAGGCAATATTTAGTGAATCACTAGTATTTGGTAAACAATTTAGCATGTTCAAGTTGTTTAATGTTTGCAATATACAAGTTGTGCTCCAGGTGCCTGCACAATAACCTTCAACAAAAATAGACCGCAGTGAGCATCGTCTTGTAATGATCCTCTTAGCTCGAAAGTCAATATAATGCATGTGAAGCATTTCATTTGTCAAATAAAATATATGAATACAGTGTTTGGCATGTCGTGTCTTACAGCCAATGGGCGAATCCATGTAAATAATTGTAAAATTAGAGAATAGAAATGGTCATTTCCAGAATAGCGTGGCCGAGATTATTCCTATTATGCATCAGGCGTGTTATCATTAGAAGATTATAGTGTGTAACATGTTGTTTAGCTGTTGTCTTTACATATTTACAGGAGTAGTTTACTAAAGTACTTACTGTCCTTCAAGGTAGCCATGTTCCTGACCTGCCCACTGTGAACAGAACAAGTGTATTTAAGCTGTTGCTGAAAGCATTGTCAACATGATTAATAACAACATACATACAAAGAGTAACTGTTATCATAGATTGATTCAAACTGAAACGTTTGGGACATTTATTTGGCTGCTTGCTAACGCTGCAAGTGTGCTAGCAGTGGTTAGCTTGGATTCGATGCACTAATAAGCTTAGATAGTAAACACTTTTGCTGAGACTGTGTCTCGCATGAAGGAAATAAACATTTCTGAGAAATGTATGTGTGAAACGCTAACTCGTTGCAAGTGTTTTTGCACAATGTTGGAATGTTTAAACTAGTAAATGTCAGCTTAGCTAGCATTAGCTTGTCTGAACTGTGCAGCACACCACTGTCATTCATTAGCCGCGGCCTCCACGTTAGCATGTCCTTGCATTCAAAACCTGCATTTATCACAGACTTGAAGTTTCACAATTCCTCTAATCACACATCACATGTAGAACATACAATGAACATAGAATCAAATACTGATGTGAAATTGTTTAAACAGCTTTGACATTACCATTGTGGGGAGAACACCAACGCGCTGGTCCTGGCGAACATGGTTACTGCTATGAAGGTCAGACACACAGAACTGCGCAAGCGTAAACTGAAGGTAAAATGGAAGAATGATGCCTTCATGGACTGCCAGCAACATCCGGTAGAATGCGTTCCACACGGTTCCACACCTATTTTTAGAGATGGAAGAAATATTTGGATAACTTACTTAAAATAGAAGAATAAAGTAACAATGCGACACTGTAGAATAGTTATATGGTAGAGAGTACAATTAATAATTAATAGAATCATGAGGGTGCATAACAAATTATCGATCTGTAAAAGAACAAGAAATCAAATATGCAATAAATAAATACACAGAAAAATATTTACAAAGAAATGTGAAAAAACAATTGAAAAGGCTTATTATTATTATTATTATAATAATAATAATAATATATCCCCTAATCATTTTGTTTTCCCCTAATCATGTATATATCCAAGTTGTAATTATTGTTGCATTATTATGTCCATCAATTTACAGTTGCAATCGGTAAAGGTGGGTCTCAGTTTGATTACTATATTAACTGCTGTGAATCTATAACAACACGATTTGATTTATATGTTGTATTTATTATCTAAATTGGCAAAGTCACCAAATTACAGAAGTGGTGTGAAAAGTACGACAGTTCACGTTGAGATGCAGTGGAGTCTAAGTAGTCCCTGAACGCAGCTTCAGTTGTCGCGTGACTTCAGTGTTAAACGAGAGGTTATGACGGTAACACGCGGAAACTGTTTACGTTAGCGGCTAGTGGTTGTCGATAATTTAGCCACGGTTTGTCCGTTTTAGCGTTATTAACAGGTTATTAATCGACAATTAGCGGGTGTTTTATGGTTAGTATTGCTGCTCAGAATGGGGAAAGCGGATTTTCTCTCCCCAAAGGCGATAGGCAACCGGATAAAATCCAAAGGTCTCCAAAAGTTGAGATGGTATTGCCAGATGTGTCAGAAACAATGCCGAGATGAGGTAAAACACCGTGCTTTTAGTGTAATATTTAGAAGTTATTTCAACATATTCAACCTATTTTGTATTTCATTCGTTCCAGAATGGCTTCAAATGCCACTGCATGTCCGAGTCCCACCAGAGGCAGCTTCTGCTGGCCTCAGAAGACCCAAACAAATTCATGGACTACTTCTCCGAGTAAGTTCTTTTGAATGTAAATGTAGAATGTTAATGTTGTTCTTCATATGGTTGGAGTTAATTCCTGCTCCCTATCCTCCCAGTGAGTTCAAAAACGAATTCCTGGAGCTGTTAAGGAGACGTTTTGGTGAGTCCTGAATCCACTCAGACTATCCAGAAGTTTGGAGCTTTTTACTGTAAGAAAACTGATCACATTTATTCTGTTTTAGGGACCAAGCGAGTGCACAACAACATCATCTACAATGAATACATCAACGACAGAGAGCACGTTCACATGAACTCCACACAGTGGGAGACTCTCACTGACTTCACCAAGTGGGTGGGCAGAGAAGGTAAACTCTCCTGAAATGTGGTTCAACATGCACAGACACAAATCACAAATATTTATGAAGGAAACGTTCCCTTTCAGACAAAAAGATCTATAACAAGTTCCATAATTACAGAGCAGAACGAACTGACAGTGGAATAACTATTTACTTTTATGTTTACACCACAATACCCAATTCAAATTCCTCGTACGTGTCAACCTACCTGGTAATAAACCTGTTTCTGATTTTGAACTACAGATCTCTAACGTTTCGTGCTACCATTTTGTATCGTTCAACACTATTTTGATGTCAAAATCTGTCCATAGACCGAAATGTAAACACATGGCACAAGTATTCAAAACCACCATTGTGATAGTTCCCGCTGCAGTAGTCTTTTTTTTCAAGAAAACACACTAACAGACTCAAATGTCAAAACAATTATAAAAAATGTAAGCAAATGATCAATGAACCTATTAATAAAGAACATTAGGCGCAATCTTGGCTCATAATATAACTACATAACAAGGCTGTTTACCAAACGACCATAAAAACAACATGAGAATTATGTAACTGTGTATTAACAAAACTTTCAAAATGATCTGTCTTGTTAAACAAATCATGGAAATTATTTTGGTACCAATTTCTTACCACCTTTTGGACATGAGTCACAATACAGGTACAAGGACTGCTACATTAAAAGGGGACTCTTTTAAATGTGTAATAATTAGTCGATGATGTTACTGGTAGGTTTCTGCAAGGTGGACGAGACTCCCAAAGGCTGGTACATCCAGTACATCGACCGCGACCCGGAGACCATCCGCCGACAAGAGGAGCAGGCGAGGAAGAAAAAGCAGGACCTGGACGACGAAGAGAGGAGCGCCAAGTTCATCGAGGAGCAGGTCCGCAGAGGCCGGGGCGACAAGGAGGAAGAGGTGAGGACCAGAGAGGACGCACTCAGCTTCACACAGGCTCAATTCTGCTTTATGAAAATCAATGCAGTTGAGATTTGACATTTGTGTTCCTGTATTCTAATCTTTAGGAAACCCCAGTTTTCACAGAGCTGAAACGTGAGAGTGAAGAAGAAAAAGGTTAGTTCTATTTTTTCCATCAGTTAAATGTCGTTAATGCATTTCTTGTCACTCACCCTTACGTTTTTTCTACAGTTGCTTTCAACCTGGGCGCTTCCTCATCTGTAGCCGGTCCTTCTAAATCAAGGTAAAGATATCTTTGCATGTTGCTTCATCTGCTGCCTTTTTTTACGTAATCACGGTATAATGAAAGAAATTATACTTTTTTTTTATTTTACTGTAAATAACTAATTTATTTTATATTTTCTTCAATAGTTAAGTTAATTTTAAAATATACGTATTGTTGCCCCTTGTTTTATCCTTTTTAAAAAGGTTTATTACTTTGTATTAATATTTGTGTTTATTCTTAACACAGGTTTCTACTTAATAAATATTAGGAAAATAGATAATTACCTATGTAAATGTGTCCTTAAAATGTCCTTAAATCTGCATTAAAACCATGTTCATTGTATGCCTTGGAAAAAAAATGCTTCTCAATTATCAAGCAAGTCTTATTTAATAATATTATCTGAAACTGTTTGTGTCTCCTTTTTAGTTCTGCTCTGGGTGCGAGTGCCCTCAAAGCAGCCGCATCATCGTCAGCCAAGAGAAAAGACACGAGTGCAGACACCAGAGGGGAGAAGAAGAAGAAATCTGCTCTGGAGGAGATTATGGAGGTAGAGGGGATGATCTACTGGTATGTTCTACTAATGTGTCTGTGTTTACATTGAGACGTTATATTCATGCTGTTTGTTCAGATGGAGGAGAAGAAGAAGAAGAAGCAGTCGGTCAGATTGGATTTCTGGCTGCAGCCAAACATCGTGGTCAAAGTCGTCACAAAGAGACTTGGAGAGAAGTACCACAAGAAGAAGGCGATCATCATGGTAAAAAACGCTTTGCATTTATCTTTGTGAGAGTATGTTTGTGTGCCTCGGGATCAGAGGCCTGTACCACGAAGCAGGTTCAACCTAACCTGGATATGTTTGAGTTAGCCGGTTGGCCTAATCCAAAACATACGCGCTCTCGCTACACGGTACTACGACGCGGGTTATCAAGTGGATCGCTCAAGCCAGCCGTGTCCTATCTAGTTAGGTGCGCGTTCACATGAAAGGGGTGGTATTTGGAGCATTCGACCAATCACAAACATGGAGAAGCGTACTGACAGCGCAGCGTCATACTTCCTGAATGAAAAGTGAACTTTAATATTAGTCAAATATGAAGAAGTTAAACTTTAAACATCCATGACTTAAACACTTTATCCAGGATCAAAGCCACATAGCTGCACCTGCAAGGTGAATACAGCTGGTAACAGAATAAGTGTTTGAATGCGTACATTAACAGGTTTATGATATCACTGCCCCGTCTAAGACACGATCTGACTTTAATTACATTTGTCTCGAGTGTTTCGTCAACTTAATGTGTTGCTTAAAATAATACTTCTGCATACAGTATGTGACACTGTGAGTGTTGCACGGCCAGATACGGCTCAGCTGACTCAGATAAGGAAATACATTATGATGTGATATGAATGATAATGGGACACATCGACGTCTGCACTCACAGAGCCGCGGACTGTAGGCTACGTAATGTTACTTTGATCCGGTTACTTATGTTGTGGCAGATATTTGATTAAGCTTTCTTAACATAATAGTATAATAGTTATAATAGTTATAATAGTCCGATTGCTCTGAAGATGGGAGGTGATATTCTATTCATTTTCACGTTCACAGTCGGTGATTTTGGCCGGCCGTCTTTCCTGCAACGGCAGTTTAAACTGTATTTCCTCCGCACGCACTGAGTTGATCTCTTATCCTGGAACCTATCCTGCTTCGGAGCACAGACTAGGTTCCAGGATAAGTCACCATGGAGATCTAGCCCGCTAAAAAGTGAACCAGCTTCGTAGTACCGGAAGTCCCAGAAGTTATCTTGCTAAACGAAAATCCTCCTTCGTAGTATACCCCCCTGGTCTAGTTAGCTGAATATATCAGTGCGTGTGTGCGCGTTACCTGATGTCTCTGCCCACAGATGTCACAGTGTGGTCCCACTGGGGGTCCGGTGGCTGAAGAATACTTCATACTGAAATCAGAGCAGAGTCAGATGAACTACACACAGGCAGCAGGAACAACTAACAGACTATAACTCATGGGAAACATCAGAGTGTCGTTGGTACAGTGTGAGGGGTCTTCTTACTGTTTCCCGTTGGTGGTCCTCCGGCCCATCCTCTGCAGGTGGAAGGAGCCGCAGCCCACACAGTTATACACCAGAGCCTGTTTACTGAGAAGGAGAAGGAGACGAGTGTTAGACTGTGTTTAACTGCTGACTACAGCTAATCATTTCAATGTGAGCATGTATGCTAGTAAATGTACACATACGAGTGTTTGACCAGCTGTTTGAATAGGGTACAGGTACGTCAGAGAGACTGTTTTTTTGTTTAAAGAGCAACTTGCAGGGTTTTTTTATTTTTTACTACCTTTATGCTTAACCTTGCCTGAAAATTACAATTAAAAATGTTAATGCAGGATTTGATATGTTTACACATAAGGGCAGGAATTCAGAGGGAAAGGAGCCGTTTTGAGTTCTGCTTTTTAGCGTCATATTACGTCACATGGGGGAGTCAACTTTCTCGGACTCGTTCTCTGCCCAATCCGTGGTAGTAGTTTGTAGTTGGTTTGAGCGGTTGTGATTTAGTGAGCTGGTATTTTTTCGGTAATTTTACATTGCATTTCACCATTTGTAATCATGATGAGCTGGTATTTGTGCAGGTTGCACAAACTCCAGCCTGTCAGGACATCGAGTCCACAGTTTCCCTCACGGGAAAAGGACCGGAGCTAGCGTTCGTTCCTGGGTGCGTTGTGCATCCACCTCCCTGCAGCACATACTCTCCACAGCTTTATCAGGAAACCGTATTACATCTCTTCCCCCCCACTTGCATAGAATTTACAAAGGTAGAATCCGTACTATATTTCGTGAACAAAGCATTGACTTCTTTACGTTTATATGTGAATATTTGCTTGCAGTTGGTAGTTCGTAGCCTCGTCTATACAAAGTACGCCTGAATAACTAAAACTTTGTTAGCAGACGAACGGGAAAGTTTTTAATCGTGTTAAGTAATACGTTTGGAACCTTTTCAGCAGAGTCGTGAGGAGGACGGATTACGTTTCCTTTACGTGACATACAAACCAAACTACAATAGCAGACCTCACGCGTTTTTCCTCCCGAAGACGGCGGCTAATGATGAGAGGGCTACGAGAAAAGACAAGGTCATACTTTTGCGTTGACTCGTCCTGTCAAAAACGAAAAGTCGGGGTACCCATATGACAAAAAAGCATCGTGCGTCCTCGCCTATGCTGAACAACACTTTTCATTGTATGTTAAGATATGGAGGTACCATTATGCGAGTCGTATAGTGGCCGATTCTTGTTAGTCTAACGAACTAAAACTGAAGCCAGGCAAAATATTTCTCTTATATGCGTGTCACTGTAGACCACAACAAAATCATTCTTTAATAAGTGAAGGCGTATTTTTCGAGGCGTCACTGGAGGCGCACACTGCATTGTACCCCCTCTCGCCGGCCAGATGCATACTTATTTAGTAACCTAGTGTTACGATCAAATACTGGTCTCCACTTTTATATATAAGCTTACGGTATACTAATATTAATACTCGCACGATCCGCAGGTTCTCTGGCCTCGTCTGGTCCTTAATCTTTTTATTGTCGGTAGCCTCTCTTTACCTCGACACAGCACACCTCTTGTCTCGCTACAGAACCACTCACCTGGCCTGCATGGTACAATCGATTGCAGTCAGTGTAGTGTTGTAACATTTCATATCGATAGTATATAGGTCGATATTGATTCATCTGTTAACTATTATATCATTGCAATGATCCGTCCTGACAACTATGACTAGGGTATTGTCTTTGATTACGCGTTCATAGTCGCATAGAGCGCAACATGGATTACGTGAGTGTGATTGCCACGACCATGGCCGTCCTCTCTGGCTCTCTATGCCGACTTATGAACTGCTAGACCGCCTCTTTCCAACACCTCGGAGGCAAGCTAGTACGCAACAACCGAACTACTTCGTCCACACATACAGCCCCTCCCACGTGTCGACTAACGTTGCGTCCCTCACCCCAACTCTGGTTCCCTCGGTCCTCACTGTCTGTGGTCACGTGTGGTATGTGTGCTGTCCCCTTTGTGTGTTTGTGTTTCCTCTGCCGTACCTCGTCATGTCGGTGGTGTCGCATGGATTGACGTGAGGTGTGCTCAGAATGTCACGGCACATGGCCTCCCCTCTCCTCTCGTC